AGTATATAACTGTTCGTTACACTTGGTTTATAGTGTCATTCAAGTCCTCTGTTTTGCTATTTCTCTTCTGCCTGGCTTTTGCATCCATTATTAAAAGTGAGATATTGGAAACTCCTACTATTTTTGTGTTGCTGTCTGTTACTCCTTTCAATTCTGTCAATGTTTGCTTCTTATATTTAAGAGCTCTGATGTTAGGTGGAGATATATATATATATATTTGTTATATCTTGGGGCACCAGGGTGGCTCAGTCAGTTAGGCATCTGCCTTCAGCTCAGGTCACGATTCCAGAGTCCTGGGATTGAGCCCCATGTCAGGATCCCTGCTCCATGGGGAGCCTGCTTCTCCCTCTTCCCCTCCTCCTCTCTGTCAAATAAATATTTATTACAGAGAGAGAGAGAGCATGAGCAGGGGGGGCAGCAGGCAGAGGGAGAGGGAGAAGCAGATCCCCCACCGAGCAGGGAGCCCAGCTTGGGGCTTGATCCCAAGACTCTGGGATCATGACCTGAGCTGAAGGCAGACGCTTGACTGACTGAGCCACCCAGGTGCCCCAATAAGTAAAATCTTTAAAAAAATTGTTATATTTTCCTGGTGAACTGACTCTTTTATCACTATATAATATGCTTTGTCTCTTGTGAGTTTTTTACTTAAATCGTATATTGTCTCATGTAAGCATACTACCCCTGCTGTCTTTTGGTTACCATTTGCATGGAATATCTTTTTTCCACTCTTTCACTTTCAGCCTATGTGTCCTTAGATCTAAAGTGAGTCTCTTATAGACAGTGTGTAATTTTTTATCCATTCAGCCAATATATGTCATTTGATTGGGGTTCAATTCTTTCACATTTAAATAGTTACTGATAGGCAAAGACTTAATATTGCCATTTTGTCAATTGTTTTCTTTATGTCTGAAGCTATCCCTCTTTTACTGCCTTCCTTTGTGTTTCATTGATTTTTTTGTGGTGACATGCTTTGTCATTTTTTTTTTATTTGTTTGCAAGGGGGTTAGGTTTTTATGTTTTTTCTTAGGTTATGCTTTTTTTTTTTTTTAACTTTATTTTTTAGAGCATTTTTAGGTTCATAGCAAAATGGAGTGGAAAGTACAGAGCATTCCCATATACTCCTGTCCCCACACAGGCTAACTGCCTCTGCTTTGACATCCTGCACTACCATGATACATTTGTTATGATTGATAAACCTACATTGATAGATTATCATCCAGAGTCCATACTTTACATTAGGGTTCATTATTGGTGTTGCACAGTCTGAGTTTTGACAAGTGTATAATGACATGTATCCAACAATATGGTATCATACAGAATAGTTTCACTGCCCTAGATATTCTCTGTTCTCTGTCTATTCATCCCACTCTCCCTACCAGCTCTTCGTTACCACCGATCTTTTCACTGACTCCGTACTTCGGCCTTTTCCAGAATGTCATATACATGGAATCATATAGTTTGTAGCCTTTTAAACTGGCCTCTTACATTTAGTGTTACGCACTTAAGTTTCTTCCATATCTTTTAAAGGCTTGATAGCTCATTTCTTTTCAGCATTGAATAATATTCCATTGTCTGGATACACCACAGTTTATCTATTCACCTACTGAAGGACAATCTTGGTTGCTTCTAACTTTTGGCAATTATGTATAAAGTTGCTATAAATATCTGTGTGCAGTTTTTGTGTGGACATAAAATTTCAATACCAAGGAGCATGATTGCTGTATCATATGGTAAGAGTATATTTAGTTTTGTAACAGTGCTGAGCCCGACGCTGGGCTCAATCTCACAACCCTGAGATCATGACCTGAACTGAAATCAAGAGTCAGACGCTTGACTGACTGAGCCATCCAGGCGCCCCTTACTGTTGTTTTAATCGTAATTCCCTAATGAGATATAATGTTGAACATCTTTTCATATACTTACCTGACATCTGTTTATCTTCTTTGGTGAGGTTTCTATTCAGGTCTTTAGCCTATTTTTTAAAATCAAGTTTTTTGTTTCCTATTACTGAGTTTTAAGAGTTCTTTGTTTATTTTGGATAATAGTACTTGATCAGATATGCCTTTTGCAAATATCTTTTCCCAGTCTGTCCCTCCTTTTCTCATTCTCTTGACATTGTGTTACAAAGAGCAGAAGTTTTTTAATGCTAGTGAAGTCAATTGTTTCTTTCATGGATTGTGTTTTTGCTGTTGTATTTGAAAAGTCACTGCCATACTAAAGATCATCTAGATTTTCTATGTTACCTTCCAGGAGTTTGATAGTTCTGAATTTGACATTTAGTTCTATGATCCATATTGGATCATAGTTAGTTTCTGTGAAGGGTGTGAGGCCTGTCTAGATTCTTTTATTTGCATGCAGATATCCAGTTTTTCAGCTCCAATTCTTGAAAAGACTGGTTTTTGTCCGTTGCATTACCTTTGCTCCTTAGTCAAAGATTAGTTACCTATATTTATGCGAGTCCATCTCTGGGCTCTCCATTCTGTTCCACTGATCTATTTGTCTATTCTTTCACCAATATTATACCATCTAGATACTACAGCTTCATAGTAAGTCTTGAAGTGTCAGTTCTTTGTTCTTCTCTTTCAATATTGAGGTAGCTATTCGTTTTTTTGCTTCTCCTTATAAACTTTATAATCACTTTGTCAATTTTCACAAAGTAATTTTCTGGGACTTTGGTTGGGACTGCATTGAATCTATGGATCAAGTTGGGAAGAACAGACAGCCTGACAATGTTGAGACTTCCGTTATGGATTGAATTATCCCACCCAAATTCATATGTTAAAGTTCTAATGTAGTAGCATTAGGAGGTGGGGTTTTGGGGAGGTAATTAGGTTTAGTTGAGATCATGAGTTTGGAGCCTCATGATGAGATTGGTGCCCTATAAGAAGAAACAGAAAATCAGACCTTTCTGCATATGAGGATACAGCCAGAAGGCAGCCAAGAAGGCAGCTGGGAAAGCTGCCATCTGCAAGCCAAGAAAATGGCTCTTACCAAGAATCAAATCTGTTGGCACCTTGATGTTGGACTTCACATCTTCCAGAACTGTGAGAAATAAATCTGTTCACTTCTGATGGAGGGGTGCTAGAATCTCCAACAATAATAGTGGATTTATCTGTTTCTCTTTGTGCTTCTATCCGGTTTTGTCTCACTTATTTTGATACTTTATTGGTAGGCATGTACGTGTTAAGGATATTTATGTATGTCTTGTTTAAGTATGGATCTCTTTATCATTATGTAATGGTCTTCTTTATGCCTGATAACTTAGCTTGCTCTGAAGTCTACTCTGTCTGAAATCAATATTGTTACTCCTGCTATCTTTTGATTAGTGTTAGGATAGCATATTTTTCTCCTTACCTTTCCTCCTTTTTTTTTTTTGTTTCAAGTTTTTATTTAAATTTAGTTAGTTAACATATAGTGTAATATTAGTTTCAGGAATAGAATTTAGTGATTCATCACTTACATATAATACCCAGTGCTCATCACAACAAGTGCCCTCTTTAATAACCATCACGCATTTAGTCCATCCACCCGCGCCCCTCCCCTCCAGGAACGCTCAGTTTGTTCTCTGTAGTTAAGAATCTGTTTTACGGTTTGCCTCTCTCTCTTTCTCTTTTCCCTATCTGTGTTGTTTCTTAAATTCCACATATGGGGTGCCTGGGTAGCTCAGTCATTGAGTGTCTGCCTTCAGCTCAGGTCAAGGTCCTGAGGTCCTGGGATCGAGCCCTGCATTGGGCTCCCTGCTCGGCGGGAAGCCTGCTTCTCCCTCTCCCACTCCCCCTGCTTGTGTTCCTTCCCTCGCTGTGTCTCTCTCTGTCAAATAAATAAATAAAATCTTTAAAAAAAAATTCCAGATATGACTGAAATCATATGGTCATCCCTTTCCTTTTAATCTATATGTGTCTTTATATTTAAAGTGGGTTTCTCAGGGCGCCTGGGTGGCTCAGTCAGTTAAGCATCTGCCTTCGGCTCAGGTAATGATCCCAGGGTCCTGGGATCGAGTCCCACATCGGGATCCCTGCTCAGCGGGGAGCCTGCTTCTCCCTCTGCCCCTCTCCCTGCTCGTGCTTTCTTTCTCTCTCAAATAAATAAATAAAATCTTTAAATAAATAAATAAATAAAGTGGGTTTCTTGCAGACAACATATAGTTGGGTCTTGCTTTTTGATCCACTTCAACAATCTTTTTTTTTTTAAGATTTATTTATTTATTTGAGAAAGAGAGAGAAAGAAAGCGGGGAGGGGGGGAGGGAGAGGCAGAGGGAGGGTGAGAGAAAGAGAATCTCAATCAGACTCCCCGCTGAGTGCACAGCCCAACACAGGGCTCAATCTCACAACCTTGACATCATGACCTGAGCTGAAATCAAGAGTCAGACACCTAACCGACTGAGCCACCCAGGCGCCCCCCCACTCCATTGTTAATCTTAAAGAAGCTCCCTTACATGTGACAAATCATTTTTCTCTTGCTAATTTCAGGATTCTCTCTTGTGACTTTTGACTGTTTTAATAATATTTATTAAAAAAATAAAAAGCATAACATATAATACTGCTAACACTGTAGAGGAATCTAACAGAAGACAATCAGTGATCCTTACTTTTTTTTTTCTTCCAAGTCTTTATTAAATTCCAGTTAGTTAACACACAGTGTAATATTAGTTTCAGTTATATAATATAGTGATTCAGCACTTCCATACAGCACCCAGTGCTCATCACAAGTGCACTCCTTTATCCCCATCACCTATTTAACCCATCCCCCTGCCTCCCTACCCTCTGGTAACCGTCATTGTCCTCTAGGATTAATAGTCTGTTTTTTGGTTTTCCTTTCTTTTTTCCCCCTCTATGTTCCTTTGTTTTGTTTCTTAAATTCCACATATGAGAGGTATTTGTGTTTCTCTGACTGACTTACGTCGCTTAGCATAATACTTTCTAGCTCCATCCACGTTGTTGCAAATGGTAAGATTTCATTCTTTTTTATGGCTTCTTTTTTATGTGACATCCTATCCCAGGGACTAAAAATGTCTGCCACCTTCATTGGCAACAGCACGGGCATCCAGAAGCTGTTCAAGTGCATCTCAGAGCAGTTCACCGCCATGTTCAGGCACAAGGACTTCCTGCACTGGTACACGGGCGACAGCATGGACAAGATAGAGTCCACCAAGGCCGAGAGCAACATGAACGACCTGGTGTCCAAGTACCAGCCGTACCAGGACACCACAGCCAAGGAGGAGGGCGAGTTTGAGGAGGAGGCTGAGGAGGGTGGCCTAGAGCTGTTACCTGGTAAAGCACGTGGAAGCTGTGTGAACTCTTTATTCACTCACAACCTGTGTGCACTTGCTCTCCTTCCTGTCTTGACGTCACATGCTATACAGACGCCACATGCTATACAGACGCCACCATTAAAGCATTTTCATAGTGAAAGAAAAAAAATTCATCAGTTGATAGACATTTGGGCTCTTTCCATAATTTGGCTATCATTTATTATGCTGCTATAAACATTGGGGTGCATGTATCCCTTTAAGGCAGTATTTTTTTTATCCTTTAGGTAAATAGCCAGTAGTGCAATTGCTGGGTTGTAGAGTAGTTCTATTTTTAACTTTTTGAGGAAACTCCGTACTGTTTTCCAGAGTGGCTGCACCAATTTGCATTCCCACCAACAATATAAGAGGGTTCCCCTTTCTCTGCATCCTGGCCAACATCTGTTGTTTCCTGAGTTGTTAATTTCAGCCATTCTGACAGATGTGAGTGATATCTCATTGTAGTTTTGATTTGTGTTTCCCTGATGATGAGTGATGTTGAGCATCTTTTCATGTGTCCGTTGGCCATCTGTATGTCTTCTTTGGAAAAATGTCTATTCATGTCTTCTGCCCATTTTTTAATTGCATTATTTGATTTTTGGGTGTTGAGCTTTATAAGTTCTTTATATATTTTGGATACTAACCCTTTATCAAATATGTCATTTGCAGATATCTTCCCCCATTCTGTAGGTTGCCTTTTAGTTTTGTTGATTGTTGCCTTTCTGTAGAGAAGCTTTTTATTTTGATGAAGTTCCAAAGTTGCTTTTTTTTTTTTTTTTCGCTTTTGTTTCCCTTGCCTTAGGAGACATATCTAATAAGAAGTTGGTATGGTCAATGTCAAAGAGGTTACTGATGTTTTCTCCTCTAGGATTTTAATGGTTTCAAGTCTCACATTTAGGTGTTTCATCCATTTTCATTTTATTTCATTTTTGTGTATGTTGTAAGAAAGTGGTCCAGTTTCATTCTTTTGTATGTTGTTGTCCAGTTTTATCCATACCACTTATTGAAAAGACTGTCTTTTTCCCATGGGATATTCTTTCCTACTTTGTCAATTAGTTGACCATATAGTTGTAGTTACATTTCTGGATTTTCTATTCTGTTCTATTGATCTATGTGTCTGTTTTTGTGCCAGTACCATACTCTCAGGATCACTACAGCTTTATAATATAACTTGAAGTCCAGCATTGTGATTCCTCCAGCTTTGCTTTTCTTTTTCAAGATTGCTTTGGATATTTGGGGTCTTTTGTGGTTAAATATAAATTTTAGGATTTTTTGTTGTAGCTCTGTGAAAAATACTGTTGGCATTAAATGTGTAGACTGCTTTGGGTGGTATAGACATGTTAACAATATTTGTTCTTCCAATCCATGAGCATGGAATGTTTTTCCATTTCTTTGTGTCATCTTCAATTTCTTTCATCAGGGTTTTATAGTTTTTGGAGTACAGATCTTTCATCTCTTTGGTTGGGTTTATTCCTTATCTTACGGTTTTTGGTGTAATCATAAATGGGATTGATTCCTTGTTTTCTCTCTCTGCTCCTTCATTTTTGGTGTATGGGACTGCAACAGACTTCCGTACATTGATTTTGTATCCTGTGACTTTACTGAATTCATGTATCAGTTCTAGTAATTTTTTGGTGGAGTCTTTTGGGTTTTCTACATAGAGTATCATGTCATCCACGAAAGTGAAAGTTTGACTTCTTCCTTGCCAGTTTGGATGCCTTTTATTTCTTTTTTTTTTTTTTTAAGACTTTTTTATTTATCTGAGAGCGAGAATGAGAGACAGCATGAGAGGGAGGAGGGTCAGAGGGAGAAGCAGACTCCCTGCCGAGCAGGGAGCCCAATGCGGGACTCGATCCGGGGACTCCAGGATCATGACCTGAGCCGAAGGCAGTTGCTTAACCAACTGAGCTACCCAGGCGCCCTGGATGCCTTTTATTTCTTTGTGTTGTCTGATTGCTGTGGCTAGGACTTACAGTACTATGTAGAATTAAAGTGAGAATGTACATCCTTGTCTTGGTTCCTGACTGTAGAGGAAAAGCTCTCAGTTTTTCCCCATTAAGGATGATGTTAGATGTGGGTTTTTCATATATGACCTTTATTATGTTGAGGTATGTTCCCTCTAACCCTACTTGGTTGAAGGTTTTTATCATGGATTGATGTTGTACTTTGTCAAATGCTTTTTCTGCATTTATTGAAAGGATCATGTGTTTCTTACCCTTTCTTTTATTAATGTGGTGTTATAGGTGGATTGTTTTGGGAATACTGAACCACGCTTGCAGCCCAGGAATAAATCCCATTTGATTGTGGTGAATGATTCTTTTAATGTACTATTGGATTCAATTTTCTAGTATTTTATTGAGAATTTTTGCATCTCTTTTCATCGGGGATAATGGCCTGTAGTTCTCTTTTTTAGTGGAGTCTTTATCTGGTTTTGGTATCAAGGTAATGCAGGCTCATAGAATGAATTTGGGCGTTTTCCTTCCTCTTCTATTTTCTGGAATAGTTTGAGAAGAATAGGTATTAACTCTTCTTTAAATATTTGGCAGAATTCCCCTGTGAAGCCATCTGGCCTTGGACTTTTGTTTGTTGGGAGATTTTTGATTACTAATTCAATTTCTTTGCTGATTATCAATCTGTTCAAGTTTTCTATTTCTTCCTGTTTCAGTTTTGGTAGTTCATATGTTTCTAGGAATTTATCCATTTCTTCCAGGTTGTCCAATTTATTGGTATATAATTTTTCTTAATATTCTCTTACAATCATTTGTATTTCTGTGGTGTTGGCTGTTATTTCTCCTCTCTCATTTGTGGTTTTATTTATTTGGGTCCTTTCTCTTTTCTTTTTGATAAGTCTGGCTATGGGCTTATCAATTTTATTTTTTTTTTCAAAGAACCAGCTCCTGATTTCATTGATCTGTTCTACTGGGATTTTGTTGTTGTTGTTGTTGTTGTTTCTATAACATTTATTTCTGCTCTAATCTTTATTATTTCCCTTCTTCTGCTGGCTTTAGGCTTTGTTTGTTGTTCTTTTTCTAACTCATTTAGGTGTAAGGTTAGGTTGTTTATTTGAGATTTCTCTTGCTTCTTGAGGTAGACCTGTACAGCTATAAACTTCCCTCTTAGGACCACTTTTGTTGCATCCCAAAGGTTTTGTACCATTGTGATTTCATTTTCATTTGTTTCCATGTATTTTTTTAAATTTCTTCTTTGATTTCCGGGTTGACCCATTCATTGTTTAGTAGCACATTGTTTAATCTCCATGTATTTGTGGTCTTTCCAACTTTTTTCTTGTGGTTGACTTCAAGTTCCATTGCATTGTTGTCAGAAAATACGCATGGTATGATCTCAGTCTTTTTGTCCTTGTTGAGGCCTGATTTGTGACCTAGTATGTAATCTGTTCTGGAGAATGCCCCATGTGCACTTGAAAAGAATGTGTGTTCTGCTGCTTTAGGATGGAATGTTCTGAATGTATCTGTGAAGTCCATCTGGTCCAGTGTGTCATGCAATGTCATGCATTATTTCCTTGTTGATTTTCTGCTTAAATGATTTGTCCATTAATGTAAGTGGGGTGTTAAAGTCCCCTACTATTATGGTATTATTATCTGTTAGTTCCTTTATGTTTTTTATTAATTGTTTTATATATTTGGGTGCTCCCTAATTGGGGGCATAATATTTACGATTGTTAGATCTTCTTGTTGGATAGTCCCATTTGTTATATACAGTGCCCTTCTTGTCTCTTGTTACAGTCTTTGGCTTAAAATCTAGTTTGTCTGATATAAGTATTGCTACTCTGGCCTTCTTTTGACTTCCATTTGCATGATAAATATTTCTCCATCCTCTCACTTTCAAACTGGGTCTAAATTGAGTGTCTTGCAAGCATATAGATGGGTCTTATTTTTTATCCATTCTGACACCCTATAACTTTTGATTCGAGTGTTTAGTCCATTTACATTCAGAGTAATTATTGATATATGTGTATTTAGTGCCATTTTATTACCTGTTTTGTTGTTGTTCCTGGATATTTTCTCTGTTCCTTTCTCGTCTTTGTCAACTTTTGGTCTTTCTTTTCCACTGAAAGAGTCACCTTTAATATTTCTTGTAGGTCTGGTTTAGTGGTCATGAACTCCTTTAGTTTTTGTCTGAGAAACTCTTTATCTCTTCTTCTATTCTGAATGATAGCCTTGCTGGATAGAGAATTCTGGGCTGCAGATTTTTCCCATTCAGCACTTTGAATGTATCATGCCACTCTCTTCTGGCTTGCCAAGTTTCTGTGGAGAGATCTACAAATAGCCTTAGGGGTCTTCCCTTGTAAGTTAGGGACTTCTCTTGTCCTGCTTCTTTTAGGATTTTTCTTTATTACTATATTTTGCAAATTTAATTACAATATATCTTGGCCTGCTTTTGTTGATTTTGATGGGAGTTCTCTGTGCCTGCTGGATCTGTATGTCTTTTTCCTTCCCCAGATTAGGGAAGTTTTCAGCTATGATTTCCTCAAATAAATTTTCTGCCCCCTTTTTTCTCTTTTTCTTCTGGGACTCCTATCATATGAATGTTTTTGTGTTTGATGGAGTCACTGAGTTCCCTAAGTCTATTTTTGTGTTCCATAATTCTTTCTTTGGTTGAGTTTCATTATTTTCCATTATTCTATCTTCTATACCACTAATTCATTCCTCTGCTTCTTCCATCCTGGTGCTCATTGCGTCCAGTCTTTTTTGAATCTCAGTTATTGTATTTTTCATTTATGACTAATTGTTTTTATCTCTTTTATCTCTGCAGTAAGGACCTCCCTGAAGTCTTCCATTCTTTTCTCAGGCCCAGCGAGTATCCTTATGATTGTTGCTTTAAATTCTCCATCAGGCATATTACTTATATCTGTTTTGATTAGATCTCTGGACATGACTTTCTCTTGTTCTTTCATTTGGGAGGAATTACTTTGTCTTGGCATTTTGTCTAAAGTCTCTGTCTTCATCTCTGTTACAAAAGCCC